AAACCTGTGTGTGTGTGTGTGTGTGTGTGTGTGTGTGTGTGTGTGTGTGTGTGTGTGTCTCCTGACAGAAGCTGGATTATCGCGTTATTTTTAACCGGCTTTACAAGTCGCTCAGCGGGAGAAGGTCTTCAGAGCAGAGCGGGCGTTGAACGGAGCCGCAGGCGGAGAATAATTCATTCATGACTCTGTAGACGCTCGGGAAGCCGCTATGTCTGTGCAAACCCCGCTTCAGGTGGTGAACATCCCCTGGAGGAACAACAACTTGAGCCTGATGAGCCGCGACTCGCCGCTGTCCGATCAGGGAGAGACGATCATTGGCGTCTACCTGCTCATTCTGGGTCAGTCTGCGGATTTACTTCACTCTTATGTTAGTTTACCTCAGTTTTACATTATTTTTCTTATGTACTTTCAACTTTCAACTCTGCTGAAAAAAACAATAGACACCATCACAAAATTTGTAATGGTTTTACTGGTTATGTTGGGAATTGTATTGGTTTTAATGAAAACTGTAATGGACCCTGTGGGTTTCTACTGGTAATTGGTCGCCTTCTGTTGGTGGCTTGTTAAAACCACTAAATTCTAATGGAATATTTCCCAAAACACACTACAGAAAACCATTTTTAATGGTTTTAATGGTTAAAAGTTGATTGTTTGTAATGGTATTTGTAGTGTTACTGCAAGGGACTTGTATTGGTTTTAATGGAAACTGTAATGCACCCTGTGGGTCTCTACTGGTTATTGGTCGCCTTCTATTGGTGGCTTGTTAAAACCAATAAATCCTAATGGGATATGTCCCAAAACACACTACAGAAAACCATTTTTAAATGGTTTTAATGGTTAAAAGTTGATGGTTTGTAATGGTATTTGTATAATGGAAACCACACTGAAAAAATTATTCATTTAATTTACTAAATTGATTAAAGTGGTTGCAAGCAATTTATTTTAGCGACATTTAAATAAACAAATTTAGTTGACTAACTTTCAACATTAAAAAAAAAAATTAGCTAAAATAAATTGTTTGCAACCACTTACCTTGAGAAAATGTTGTATTATTTTTTTTCAGTGCATTAGAATTTTCTGTGATGGTTCTATTGTTTTTTACCGCAGGGAAGCACTGTTTGCGAATGCTTTTGATGGGGTTTAAGTTCCCAAACAATCATATGGAGTTTCTTTAACTTGTTTTCCAATTTTCCTACGCTTAAAAATGTCTTGTTTTCTAAAATCTGACAAGACAAATTATTTTCTAGATGAAAATAACCCATGCAACAAATGTACTGATAGAGAATATGCCTTCAATCTAATTGTATTTTGTCAAGTCAGGTTTATTGACAAAATACAAGCAGATACAAGGATAGTTTCACGACTATTTAAGGATATTAGAAAACATTAAGTGTTATTATGAAAATAAACATTTATTTTCAGAGAATATAGCCTACTTTGAATCTACTTGTATTTTTTCCAAGTCACCTTTATTGACAAAATACAAACAGATTTGAGATATATTCTCTGAAAATAAGTTAATTTTGATTCTTAGGTCATTTTATCCAGTTTTAAGGATATTATACTGAATGTACTTTGAATCTACTTGTATTTTGTCAATACAAGTTACTTGACGAAATACAAGTAGATTCAAGATATATTCTCTGAAAATGTTTACATTTCATTTTCAGATAATTTTATCTAGTATTAAAGATATTATAGATAATATAGAGTAAATCTACTTGTATTTTGTCAAGTCAACTTCACTGGCAAAATACAAGTGGATTCAATTCATATTCTCTGAAAATAAGTGCTAATTTTGATTCTAAGGTAATTTTATCTGGTTTTAAGGATATTATACGGAATATACTTTGAATCTACTTGTATTTTGTCAATACAATTTACTTGACGAAATACAAGTAGATTCAAGACATTCTCTGAAAATGTTTAAATTTCATTTTCAGATAATTTTATCTAGTATTAAAGATATTATAGATAATATACCGTAAATCTACTTGTATTTTGTCAAGTCACCTTCACTGGCAAAATACAAGTGGATTCAATTCATATTCTCTGAAAATAAGTGTTAATTTTGATAATTTGATCTAGTTTTAAGCATATTATAGAGAACATACATCGAATCTACTTGTATTTTGTCAATAAAATCGACTTGACAAATACAAGTAGATTAAAGATATATTCTCTGAAAATAAGTGTTAATTTCATTTTCAGATTATTTTATCTAGTTTTAAGGATATGATATAAAATATACCTTAAATCTACTTGTATTTTTACATACAAGGTATATTCTCTGAAAATAAACATTGGTTTTGATTCTCAGATAATTTATATAGTTTTAAGGATATTTAGGTGTTTTTGAAAACAACAAAAGATGGTTATTGTAAAATGATTATGATTATGAGATATTATGCATTATAGAAACAGGCATCTAGTGTTTATCACAGAGCTTCTTTCTTTATTATGTTGAAGATGCAGGTGTAATTGTTCTCGTTAATGTTACTGATGAACGTGTGGATTACTGCAGCTCAGGTCTGGAGATCTTCTGTCTGTCTGTCTGTCTGTCTGTCAGGGGTCATTAGAGAGAGTTAATCAGGACTGGGTTATTTGTGGAGCTCAAACTCTGATCTACATTCAGTTCATCCGTTACAGTAAAGCACTGGTATAGGGATCATATCAGATGGGAGTTTCATATTCTATTGAATGATTAACACATTCATGTGTACCACTTATAATATGCATTTAGTAAACACTTTTTATTTAAGACAATGGCTTTCATTACTATATATATTTTTATTTAATATATCTATTTGCTTATATAGACTACAGTTGGCTGCACATTTTTAACCCTATATTAATATGTAAGATTTGCATCTCTAAAATAAAGTGATTAAATTCAATGATTAAACATAACAAAATAAACCTAAATTAAATTGAGATGTTTTCTGCTGATTAACAAAAAAAGTTGAGTACAATTTGGATAAAAATAATATTTGTAATATAACATGTTATATTAGTCAGTAAATATTATATTATATTATATTAGTCTTATCAGTGTGTGTGTATATATAATATATAACCTACATAACTATATTTCCTATATAAATTTAATCATAAAGCGACAACATACCTACAATTATTTTATTATAAATTATATGTTTGCAGATTATAATTCTAATATTAAAAAGTAACAATGATATTATGCATAATTAAATTATAATTAATAATAATAAAAATAAATAAATTAATATATATATATATATATGATTAATTAATTAAAAATGTAATTAAACATTACATAATTTCTATAATTATTTTATAAAATAATGTTATTTTAAGATTATAACTGTAATAATATAAAGTTACATAATTTATAAATATATATATAATTATATTACAAAATTATATGTAAATTATTGCATAAGTTAAATTATTTTATAAAATAATATTATATAAATATACATAATATATCATATGAAAGTGTAACACACCATTAATTATGCTATATATAGATGCAATTAAATGAACAAATTATTTTTATTATGATAATATTATTAATACTAACCACAGTAACATTCTGCAGTTGGTCCTACAGTATCCCATAATGCTTCAGTTCTTGTTTGCTGATCTGTACATACAGTGATCCTGCTCTTAGAGAATGTCTTGTGTGTTTTTTGGCAGGTTGGTTGTCGTGGTTTGGCAACAGCATCGTGATCTTCGTTCTGTTCAAGCAGAGATCGTCTCTCCAGCCCACCGACTATCTGACGCTCAACCTCGCCGTCTCTGACGCCAGCATCTCCGTGTTCGGATATTCCCGAGGAATCCTCGAGATCTTCAACGTCTTCAGGGATAACGGATACCTCATCACCTCTGTGTGGACGTGCCAGGTACAGGACACACACTCACTCACTCACACACACACACATTGATGGTTGGTTGGTTGATTGCTTGATTGATTGATTGATTGATTGATTGGTTGGTTGATTGATTGATTGGTTGATTGATTTGGTTGGTTGATTGATTGATTGATTGATTGATTTGGTTGGTTGGTTGGTTCATTGATTGATTGATTGATTGGTTGATTGATTTGGTAAAATATGTTTGCAAAAATAATTATTGGGATGGATGGGTGCTGTCCCACTACAACAACAGCATTCTGTTGTTGCATGTCTCATGTTTGGCATCTTGTTTGCTCAATGCATTAACTACAGGTTCACACACACACACACACACACACACACACACACACACACACACACACACTGTGCTG